TATGAAAATTCAAAGGTACTTTTGTCAACTTGAGAAAGTACTATTTATCAAAGAAAAAATTAATTGAGAAAGTACTTTATGTTTTACCAGAAATTTACTGTTGTATTATCTTATCTCACTTATCTTAATTACTGTTGTTTTGTTTAATTTTACTAATCCAAAACAAAAACTTGAAGGAGAAAACCGACTTTTTTATACTAATCAAATTATGATTCATAAAAACCGACTTTTTTTTCTTCACATCATTTCATTTGTTTACTAAGTTCGGTTTAATTAGTTTGATTATATTTCTTATTCAACTACGAACCCACAACAGAAATTTACGTTGAACACTGATCCCAATTGCATATCTTTGTTATGTGTGCTAAGATATTTTAATATTTGTTATTTACGATGTCCTTTTTCTTTTGTTTATTTAGCAATAGCTTAATTTGGTGACTTACACACTATTGAGCGATTATTTATAAATACAGGTTTCCTAAGTTTAGTGGGACATATAATGATTGTTTACCGCATAAGTAATGATCATTAACCAATGTGTAAAGAATCTAATCCCAATTTGTTTATTTATTTTAAGAAAATTTTGTAGTATTTCTTTAAAATATTAATATGGTGAAGAATGAGGATACTAAACATTTGACGCAGAGTCTTTATCAACCTTATCCTCGCAATACCCACATAGGACTGACTTCTCTCTCAATCTTATCCACTACGTAACTTCTATTTTCATTTTTTTACAACCAAAAACCTTAATTTTCATTTTAACAATATTATATATATAACCATTATACAGAACTTAATTTCCAACGGAAAAGATTACATCCAGTGGCGGACGTACGTTGGTGGTAGTGGTGTTACCATATTGGAATTCAAATGGAAGTTTCTTTAAACAAATGATGTTAGTAGCTAGTTATTGGCTGTTGTTTCTTTTGTTCTTTTGACGAAGTATTAAAGTGTGAATAGAATAATATCTTGCAGAACAAAAGCTTGCTTTGGAATTTAAGATTATTAGAAAGCTTGTTAAAAATCTAATTACGTTTTTCTGAGATTACATTTTTTTTTTTTGGGCACAAATGCAATTCTCTCTAACCTCATAAACTGTGAAAATTTACGAGTCAAACAGCTGATCATATATATATATATATATGCTTAAGTCATACGGATGGTACATATGTTAACTATGTTTACTTCTCCATGATTTATGAATTAAGAAAAGATTATCACTAGGAAGTGGCCAGTGGGATATATGTTTGGTTCTAAACGCATGCAAATCCGGCTGCTCCATGGAATTATGTTTTGGATCCATATTATTTACTAGTCTCTGACAGCATGTCCATGATTTTGCTCTAATTATTTTATTATTTTATTATTAATATTAATATTTTTGGATACAAAATCTTATTAGGGACAAAATCTCTATTTCACTAGTCCATTAGATAACTTAATTAAAAAAAAAAAGATTGAAATCCACGTGTTGTCTACATAGATTTCTTCTTTGATCTGATTTATTGTACTACTGTAGTACTTGTTTACTTGTTTTTTTTATAAATATCATTTCGATGAACTGCACATTCCATAAGAGATATGCAATTAATTCGAGTACAAACCAAATGATGTAATATGTAAAAACAAATAATTCTATATGTTTTGTAAGAAAAATAAACTGCATTTAAGATTTTACATTATCATGAATTCATCAACTAAATCAACTTAAAACAAGATACATTAACAACATAAGCTAGCAAAATAACAAAATATATCAAGAACAAAAGAATCATCATAGATTTAGAAGTAATATTTTGATAAAGATATTGCAAAAATATTGCATGGCGAACGTTTAAACAAGATATTTAACAACATTTTAAATTAAAAACAAATTAACAAATCTATCGAACATTATACAAGATGCCAAGATCATAAGTGTGTATATTGTACAAAGGACATGTGAGATGTCAAAAAAAAATAAAAAAAAATAACATGTAAATATTATTGTGTTTGGTCTTGCAAGTCATTAATTGTTTGAGCAATTTATGTTCAAAAGTAATACTAGCATTAATCAGCAGTCCTTTGAAAAACTTTGTCACATTATCATTCGATTATACTATTTGATTGATGCAATTGTTTATGTGTGCTATAGTAATTTTTCAAAATTATTATTTAACTTCTACATTGTGTAAAAAGTTGACAATTAAGTTTGTGATATATGAGAAAGTACCATATCTTTAAGGATGACATATTCACGATGTATTCAGGATTGTGCATATTTGTATGGTATCTAAACACTTAGAAATTTATAATGAATTTGTTTTGAGAAGAAAAAAAAAAACAAAGAATCATGTAGTTCAGAAGGACTACTTCATGCTTCTTTAAAACATGGTGGTATTTGTTCTTCTTTGTAGATCGAGTTACACCATGATTCAATATCATATTCTCTTTTCTTAAAGTTCCAAAATTTCACCTGACCCATCGTTGTGTCTTTGTATCTCACAGTTATTTGAGGTATTGATACGTATAACTAATCAGTTCATATCTCTGTCAAATAAATAGATATAGTTAGTTTGCAACAAAACATCTCTAACGTAAACTTAAATATGGCATGGAAGTAAGATTAAATTACCTTTTCCAAGCCAGAGAGTGTCAGTCCATGGAAATGATAAACATACGACCTACTGAAGTGCAATAACATCCACCAAAAGGCACTTTGACCTTTAAAGAATTTGTCCATCCTTCGTTTTTGAAGAATGCGAACAATCTTCCTTTACCCTCTGTAAGTAAGTACAACATTTGATAACTAGTTAAATGTCTAAAAATAAACTATCAAAGAGATAAAGATACACGATATATCATAATAAATTACTCACGCTGAGCTAATAATTTGATAAGATACTGTTCAAACCTTTCCAAATAAAAGTTGGATGGTAGAGGAGGAAGAATCCATAAAAGTTCAAGAATATCCCGTGAGTTTTTAGTCCGTATGATATAGAAGGATCACATATTGAGCTTATCCTGTTACAAAACCAATTTGCAATATATAATCACTATTGTCAAATATCAATATGTAATGAGTATAGTCAGGGTAAATATTTTAAAAAATCATCCATTCTAAATTGATTAACAATTTCAAAATTTTTATTTAAGAACAATATTAATTTTAAATATATTATTAATGATCGTGATTTGCATAACAAAACACAAAAAAAGTAATGTGTAATATATGTAACTTAATTTAAATGAACGTTCGAATATATACCATAACACATTTAAAAAATGGGAGACTCACAAAAATGCCCTTTTTTCAATACCCCTTTTCAAAAATGCCCCTTTTGGATGTCCATTTTTAAAAATACCCCTTTTATGTACAAAATGACTAAATTACCCTTCTTTTAATAAAAGATATTATAAATATATAAGGAAATATAACAAAATTAGGTCCACAAAATACAAAATATTTTTTGGCGGGAAAAGTGATCTCCCAATTTTTCCCGCCAAAACACTTGTAAAAATTTGTAAAACCTTTAAAATACCTTGTAAAATTTTTTCCCGCCAAAAAGTTTTCCCGCCAAAAAAATTTTTTTGCGGGAAAAGTAATTCCGCAATTTTTTTGGCGTTAAATTTTTGGCGGGAAAATTTTTCCCGCCAAAAATTTACAAGGTGTTTTAAAGGTTTTTTACAAGGTATTTATAAGGTTTTACAATGTATTTTAAAAGGTTTTACAACGTATTTACAAGATATTTATAAGATATTATAAGATTTTACAAGCTTTTTTATAAGGTTTTTACAAGTTATAAGGTTTTACAAGTTTTTTATAAGGTTTTACAAGTTATAAATATCTTATAAAACCTTAAAAGTACCTTGTAAAACCTTTTAAAATACATTGTAAAACCTTACAAAACACTTGTAAATACCTTGTAAAAAACCTTTAAAATACCTTGTAAATTTTTCCCGCCAAAAATTTTCCCGCCAAAAAAATTTCGCAAAAAAAATTGCGGAATCACTTTTCCCGCAAAAAAATTTTTGGCGGGAAAATTTTTTGGCGGGAAAAATTTTTACGGGAAAATTTTACAAGGTTTTTTAAAGGTTTTTACAAGTGTTTTGGCGGGAAAATTGCGGGATCACTTTTCCAGCCAAAAAATATTTTGTATTTTGTGGACCTAGTTTTGTTTCAAATAAGGGTAAAATGGTCATTAAAAATTAAAAGAGGGCAAACTTAAAAATGGACTCTCAAAGGGGGCATTTTTGAAAAGGGGTATTGAAAAAGGGGTATTTTTAACAATTTCTCTTAAAAAAGCATCATTTGAATCAAACGCTTTTAACGTAAATTTTATTGAGAAATGGTGGATTTAATATCGTATCCATATTTATCTCCAAAATAGAGTTTGAAGTAAAATTTACTCCAATTCATCTCTATTTCCAATTCCAAAATAAAGATCTCTATTTTTTTCTCTATATTTGGAGACTTCAATTTTTAATTTACATTATAATTTGGAGATTTTTTATTTTTAACTCTAAAATGGAGATACTATATTTTAAATTTAAAAAAAAAATACGTTGGAGATGCTGTAAGTTTCAAAAAAAAAAAATTAGTGTTCAACATAAAATTCACATTACAAAATAAAGTTGATGAAGACTAAATAAATGCAAAATTTCTGAATATAATGATATTGTATTTTGAAATGGACCATAATTTAGTTTAATCTTTTTTTGTTCTTAATTAACTTATACAAGAAGAGTTACATCAACTTCGGTAACAAGGCTACACATCTAATTAAGGTACCTTTATTAATTTACAAACATACTTACCAAACTCTTTTAAAGTATAATGACGTTGAATTACAAAATAAATTAGGGAAGTATAATTGGTGAATGCATATATAAACGTGCGTACCTAACCAAAGGATCTCCCTGCAACAATGCTTTTCTTTATTAGTCTTTCATATCAACACATTCATATGACACGTGGATATCATTGAATTAAAGAAACTTTCTCTTCTTCTTATTTATACATACTGATCTCTTTACTTCACTCTCCAACAGTTTGGTAATAATATCTTGTGAGCTTCGAGAATGTCGATGTTAATGGCGGCCAAATCCACTTCACTCTATAGCTCAAACCCAACAATTTCAGCTAGAATCGGGCAAAACCCTCGCGCTGTCAGATCGGTTTATCCGACGGTGAGAATGCAGTCACGTGTTCACCGTCTGATCGAAGAGCAGGGCGCTGTGCTTATTCCCGGAGTCTACGACGCATTATCGGCGGCTATTGTGCAGCAGACCGGATTCTCCGCCGCATTAATATCCGGTTACGCTCTCTCCGCCGTAACTTTGGGAAAACCCGATTTCGGTTTGATAACGTACGCCTGTTGCTTTTTTCTCATTTCCTCTTTTTCTTCTGTCGTTTTATTCGTTTTGTTCTGTCGTTTTAGACCGCCGGAGATGGCAGCAACGGCGAGATCAGTGTGTGCTGCTGCTCCAACGATTCCAATCATTGCCGATGCAGGCAAGTCCACAATCTCAATTCTCAAACACTCTTCTCTTGCTGCACTAATTGACTTTAATCATAGTTGATTACTTTATCTTTGTTTGCTTGCAATTCAAGAGATTTGAAGAATATCACAAGTTGTTCTGTTCTGTTAAAAGATTTATTCTTTGACATTAATAATGTTCAGATACTGGTGGAGGAAATGCTCTCAATGTTCAAAGAACTGTCAAGGACTTAATCGCAGCAGGTGCGGCTGGTTGCTTCCTTGAGGTAAACTACTCAGTTATGTTTTATGTATTTTCATATGTGTTAGATTCAATTGACTCATAGTCTTATGTTACTCTCTCTCTCTCTTGTGCTATCTTAGTTGTGTTCATTTGAGTAACTACAAGACAGTTTCTTCATCTTGACTTGTACTAATATAATTTCGGGTTTCCTGCAGGACCAGGCTTGGCCAAAGAGGTGTGGTAAGAGACGTTATCTTCTTGTTTCATTCTCTTCAAAGCTATAAGCTTTTGTCTAAGTTTCCAATAATGGTTTTAACTCTTTTGCTCTTTATATTTGTCTTTTGTGTAGGACATATGCGTGGCAAAGAGGTATTGTTTTCATTCCCTCATCGTTTGCTCCCAAAATCTATAAACTGATGGCTTCTAATTTGGAAACAGGTCATACCTGCGGAGGAGCACGCTGCTAAAATAGCATCGGCAAGAGACGCTATTGGAGATGCTGACTTTTTTCTAATCGCTAGGACTGATGCTCGTGCACTATCCGCAAAAACAGGACTTTCAGACGCCATTGACCGTGCTAATCTTTACATGGAGGTTGTGTACTACTAAATCATGTTGTGTTAACAACACTAAAAGATTTAACTTTTAAGAAGCCAGAATATTGGTGGTTAATAAAGAGAGATTGGAAAAATGTGCAGGCAGGAGCTGATGCTTCCTTTGTTGAGGCACCGAGGGACGATGATGAGCTTAAGGAAATCGGAAGGCGCACAAAAGGCTACAGATTGTGTAACATGCTTGAAGGTGGACGTACGCCATTGCATACTCCTGACGAGCTTAAAGAAATGGGCTTTCATTTGATCGCACACCCACTTACCTCGCTTTATGCATCGACCCGAGCTCTTGTGGATGTACTCAAGATTCTCAAGGACAAGGGAACCACCAAAGATCACTTAGAAAAGATGATTACTTTCGAGGAGTTTAACAGTTTGTTGGACTTGGATTCATGGTATGAGCTTGAAACTAAGTACTCTAACCTCAGAAACGCGCTTGGGACAACAAAGTGATGAGATTCTGACAACTCTGGCCACAATGGAAGCTCTTGGACAATGTTATCTTTTTCTCATTTAGAAATGAAGCTGTTTGTATCATATCATATCAATAAGATTGTGTTTTGGGTTAGCATTTTCAATAAAGATTGTTCATGCTTCTCCGACAAACCAGAGAAGCCATGTCTCTAGCAATGTTTTGAGCATCTCTTGAAATACCAGCCAAGCCTTGTCTTCCAAATCCAACACTGTACAAACAAACCGTTCTAATTCCCTTGCAGTGATCCAAGAACTTGCGTCTCGGCATCCCATTCATGCTGAACAGATTTCCATCATCGACTTATGTCACATCAGAGCCATTAAACACACAAGAACAGAGTTTGTTTCCTTTGTTTCCCGGAGAATTGTGTCTGAAACTCTTTTAAGGAATCTCAAGGTAAATGATTTACTGAGCCCATCTATAACAACAACCTATATCTTAACATCACGTAAGCTTTAACTATGTGAAGTACCACAGAGGTCAAGGGTCCTGAGATCCGGCCAACCATAAGCTAAACTTATTACCCCATCATCACTGATATTCTCACACCATCCCAAGTTTAATGACTCTGCAACAGATTGTAGTAATTCCCAATAGGCTGCACACATGATCAAGGTGAACAATTCTGCCACTCTTATGACAAAAAAAAACTAGTCTCAGGTGATCAAAACACATTGCTCTAAAGATCATGCTATTGCAGAACAAGATTCATTGTTTTCAGTACTTAAAAACTTGTAGTATGATTTATATTACAAGAAGCAATGATGGATGATGTATCAATCAGCAAGTTAGGTTTTGATAGGTTTTGAGGAATTGAATAAGAAGAATACGACTTGTTAAAAAAGAGAAATCCATTAATGTCATAACATAGGTTTGAAGTCACAAGGGTTTAAACTCACAAGGGCACAACAAGTGCTTGGGGAAATAAAATATATATAAAAAAAAAAAAAGAGGGACAATGCCTCTTTATTTGGCTTTGGCTTTGGCTTTGACGAGTTTCTTGTTCTTGCTTTTTCTTTTAAAACGAGTCTTATTCTTGCCTTTGAAAAACACAGCTTGTGGAGGAATCACATCTTCCAACAACTTGATAGGAGGAAGAGGAGCTGTTTGCATGCTGAGTAAAGTGAAAACACATGTATGAGCTACCTACCACAAACCAGAGAACCCATATAGCTAGTGCTTAATTAGCCAAAAAGGAAAATTCATACCTTGAGGAAGTGGAAGTAGTTGCCTCAGACAAGTCTTCCTCCTGTTACAAGAGAGAATCAATATGAATTTAGCCGAGCTAGACAGAAAAATTCAAAAAAAACTGGTTAAAATATTTAGTAATAACCTGAATTTCAGATTCGGCGGAGGCTAGCTTATCAGATTCAGCGGGTTTCTTCGGTTGTCGCTCAAATTCCGTAGGCCAGTGGCTACGCTTAAACTGACGATATGGCCCCGAAATACCACAATCATCATAAGCACGACGATTAGCTCTCATTGCGAAAACCCTAGCTATTTCTCTCTCTCTCTCGCACCCAGATGGATAAATTTCCTGCCGCCAAATGGGTTTTTAATATAGCAAAGTAACAAGGAAACCCTAGCTATCTCTCTCGAAACTACTATGTCGTTTTTTCTCACTGAAGAGAAAAGGGAAGAAACAAAGAAACAACAACACGTTTCTAATTCAAACAGATCAAACAGATCTTGGGCCAGAGAAGGCCCAGACAGAGAAACTGAAGACAGAATCATCTGCTCTTGTCCATGTTCTCAAGATTCTCAAGGAGAAAGGAACCACCAAAGATCACTTAGAAAAGATGATAACTTTCGAGGAGTTTTAACGTTTGGTTAACTTGGATTCATGGTTTGAGCTCGAAACCAAGTACTCTAACCTCAGAAACGCTCTTGGGGAAACAAAGTAATGAGATTCTGATAACTCTGTCCACAATGTAAGCTCTTGCAATGTGTCATCACTCATCAATAATGTTTTCTTTTTTTTCACTTGTTTGTGTCATATTCAACAATTGTGTTTTTGACATGTAATAACTCAAAATTATCTAATTTATTTGGAAAGCTTGTTCTTACTTCTCTGACAAACCAGAGAAGCAATGTCTCTAGCAACGTTTTGAGCATCTCTTGAAATACCAGCCAAGCCTTGTCTCCCAAACCCAACACTATACAAACCATTCTTCCCCTTCCAGTGATCCGGGAACTCGCGTTTCGGCATCCCCTTCTCGTTGAACAGATCTCCATCATCGACCTGTGTCACATCAGAGCCATTAAAACAAGAACAGAGTTTATTTTCTCTGTTTCTGTGTCTGAAGTTGCAACAATACCTTAAGCCATTTTGTAACGCTGCTTTTGTAACCAGTTGCGAAGACAATGGAGTCCACATTTTTGGTGTTCCCATCGACGAATTCAACTCTCTTCCCTTCTATACGTTTAATAGACGTCACAACCTGAATCTTGCCGGACTTTATCTCTCCGACGCAGCCGACGTCAATGGTAGGTGACCGGCCGGTGATTAGCTTATTCATGAATGGGCCATTCTTGGGTCTTACAAGCCCATATCTCAAAGTATTCCCAAAGCTCAGCTCCGCTAGTAATAGACACAAACGGTCAACTAATTTTACCGGGAAAAACCTGAGCAACGACATTCCTATCCTTACGATCCATCTCGTCAACACGTGCACCTATATATAATCACACGATATAATGTTTATTATTCGGATTAATTGTTATAAAATTTTATTTTTTTTGTAATCTAAACTTACCGGGCTACGAACAACGATGGAGACCTTAGCGTTGCACTTAGACAGATCATAAGCAATCTCCATGCCGGAATTTCCACATCCGACGACCAAAACATCTTTTCCGGCGAACTTCTCGCCGTTCTTGTACTCACTTGAGTGCAAATACTCTCCTTGAAAGCTCTCTACAAGCCCCGGAATCTCTGGAATCACACCTTCGCCATTCTCCCCCGTCGCAGCAACCATAAACTTCGCCGAGTAGACTTCTATTAACGCCGTAGTTTTGTTTACCACCTTCACAATCCACTGACCATCTTTGAAGTAGGCGGATTTGACATTCCGGTTGTACCTAGGGGTTACGTTGAAACGTGTGGCGTATTCGTCAAGGTAATTGATGAACCCTAGCTTGGAGACGAAGGTAGGAGCGTTTGAGGGGAATGGCATGTAAGGGAGTTGACAGAATTGCTTTGCGAGGTGAAGCTTGAGACGATCGTAAGACCTTCTTTTCCACAGAGAGGCACTGCAATCATCTCTTTCCACTACTATGTTTGGTATGTTTAACCGGTTAAGACAAGCTGATGTTGCTAATCCGGCTGGTCCTGCACCGATAATCAGAACCAGAATCTTGATCTCTTTCTCCATTTCTTGTTGTTGCTGTTGTCAGTGTTGTACTGTATATTTATTAACTGAATTGCATAGCTGTACTTACTCTGTCCACACATATATATGACTAAAAATTCTAGGTAATTAAATTATTGAAAATTTTAAGTTGATTACTCTAAGTAGTGAATCATAGGATATGTTGGAAGATTTGTAATCATTTTTGCTATTTTGGCAAGTGATCTGTTCTGTGGAAGTGTGGAAGTAGTCTTAAGATTGAGTCAACACACGGTTGTCATTATAATATTTCCATAATTACTCTATTCAAAACTTCTTAATTAACTTTTCCATAATATTTGTTTTCCGAAATAGTACTTTCCGTACTTAGGTACGAGTACGGAACGGAAGAACAAATGCAGCACGACATAGATATCGTAGGGATATGATTATTACAAGGCATAGAATTGCTTCACTGTCGTTTTGTGTTTGTGTCCGAAATTAGAAATCTGAGATTGACAAACGAAGCTGTTATGTTTTAAGAAACTATATTAGGTGAATCATCTCAACAATTTTTCCTTCATTTTGACCTAAAAATTTTAAACTCGGATTAGAGCCGCGTCAATACCGTTTATGATGTTTTCAGCTCACTGCGATATTGACTTCATTATGTGGGCTTAGACAAAATGTAGGCCCATACTAAAGCCCATTTAAGAATTCCCAGTCGAAGAAGTGGGGAAAACGGCCATTTTCAACCCCAACTATTTGGGGACAGTTTTTTCCAACCTAAACTAAGACCCTCCGTCAATTTCTACCCAAACTCAAAACTAATTTAAATTCAAAACCTAAACTAATGAAAATTAGCCAATTTCAACATGATAGAAGACGGTGTTAGTTCTATTTAACGGCTGCTGAGTCAGCGATATCGTGGCATTGACATGGCGGGAAAACGGCCATTTTCAACCCCAACTATTTGGGGGCGGGTTTTTCCAACCCAAACTATTTGGGGGCGGGGAAAAAATAAAACGTCGTCGTTTTAATTTTGGGGAATAATTAAAATTAGGGTTCTTCATTTTCTCTCGAAACAGAAAAATGTTCGTCGATTTTATGAATTCACAGGCACTGTAACTGGAATCTGAAAGTAATGTAGCAATAGCAAGAAAAAGCAAAATTTGTTCCTGAATAGTTTGGTCTAACAATTGTGTCCGTCTAAAGATTTTGTCTTTCTTCTTGCAGTGGAATCATTGTACAGACATTCTATCTGGAAACTTGTCTAAAATCAATTGGGTAACGTCAATAAACTCTTTCGTAACTCCATCACTTGTCGTAACCCTAAACGATAAACATTGTTGGGTAGAAATTGACGGGGGGTCTTAGTTTGGGTTGGAAAAACTCGTCCCCAAATAGTTGGGGTTGAAAATGGCCGTTTTCCCGCCACATCAATGCCACGATATCGCTGACTCAACAGCCGTTAAATCCCGAACTAACACCGTCTTCTGTCATGTTGAAATCGGCTAATTTTCATTAGTTTAGGTTTTGAATTTAAATTAGTTTTGAGTTTGGATAGAAATTGACGGGGGGTCTTAGTTTGGGTTGGAAAAACCCGCCCCCAAATAGTTGGGGTTGAAAATGGCCGAAGAAGTGCTTATAGCTGCTGCTCAGATAGACAGATACCATCAATTTCAATAAGACATCAGCTTCTCCTCCACAGAAATCTAGTCATAATCTTTAATAGATCCTGCTAATTTGAAGATCTATTCAAGCAGATTTTTTTGTTTACCAAGTTTTTATCAATACAAATTTCAGCACTGATTAGCTGGAATTTTATACAAATCAGAGCGTTATCATTTTGGTACAAGTAACTTAAATGTTACAGCTTTAACAAAAAGGTTCTATGGTGTAGTGGTTAGCACTCTGGACTTTGAATCCAGCGACCTGGGTTCGACTCCCGGTAGGACCTTCTTTTTATTTTTATTTTTATATTCAAAAGGCCCATTTTTGTCTACCATCCTCAAACAACTGCAATACTGCATCCACCATTTCTAAGTTCTAACAAAGATTATGACTTGTGGATCTTTAACAATCTTAGGAAAGGCTTTTTTGGTAAGAGGAATTCTACTTTCAATAGTAAAGTGGTAACAAAGAGAGGTCTTACAAAAAAAAAGTCATGAACATAGCACCAAAATATACAAAAGATCTTTCAAGGCAAAGAAAGAACAACTCAAAAGCTTCTAAGGTTTCACATACACCTTAAAAAAGCTACTTCGTTTATAATACTAATCTCCATCAACATGATGCTTATATATACAACATATATATTCCTCTGTTTCAATGAGCCGGATGAGGAACCGCATTGTGCGCACGATGAGCCTGAAGGATACAAGCACAGTGCACAGTTGTTAAGTTCAGACAACCGCTCATGACAAGCGAATGCCTTCCTGAACATGTGTGAAGCGCGGGAAAGGAATCACAAACAGCTTGAACCGCTGAAGGTGTGAGGGCAGTGCATTGGCTAATGTTGAGACTTCTCAGTCCTTCTTCATCGTATTTGCCTTTCTTTACTGATTTCCATGAACCCGGTTTGTTCTTTACCCCGCTTTGAGCTAACGAGTACATCGCCCTGTCTGTTATGTTTCTGCAATAGTATAACCCCAGTGACCTCAAGTGGACACACCAGTCTGCTAGAGCTACCACACTCTCATCTGCAAAATATTACATGACAAAACCAAATTGGGTCTCAAGATCAATGGCTTTCTGAGTCCATCTATAACAACCTACTAGTTTTGTTTAGTTCAATGCAATTATCAAATGATAGTGCTCGGTAGAGGAAAAACTCATGATCTTAGCTTCGAATAAGCTTAACTATGTGAAGTACCTGTAATTAGAACACAGCCACAGAGGTCAAGGGTCCTGAGATCTGGACAGCCATAAGCTAAATTCATTACCCCATCATCACTGATATTCTCACACCAGCCCAAGTTTAGTGACTGCATCTGATTGCAGTTATTCCCAATTGCCTGCACACATCAAGATGAAAAAGTTCTATCAACTCTGCCACTATTATGACCGAAGGAGCAAAAACAAGATTGGGAGAGAACATTAAAGAAAAACAAAGATTCACCTCCAAGGCATTGTCAGTTACAGCTTTGACACATCCGCAAAGATTCAAAACTTTAAGCTTTCTGCATAATCTGGTCAAATACGCAATAGCAGTGTCACTGAATGAAGTGCAGCCACTAAGGTTGAGTTTTGTGAGGTCAGGGCAACCATGAGCAAGTGCATAAAGTGAACGATCTGTAATTTTCAAGCTTTTGCTGAGATCAAGTTCTTGTAACTCATGGCAGTGATTTGCTATGGCCTCCACTGCATTGTCCTCTAGTTGCGGTTTGTCCTGCCTCAGTATTAAAGTCTGCAGCTTTACAAACTTGGGAGCAAGAGAAAGAACCAAGCTGTTCATGTTGTTGTTACACCTAGTATAAAAATAAGAATCAACATCAGAGAGTGAAGACAAAAATCATTGAATACACGTGAAGTGGAAAAAAAAAGCTTCTAGTGGTTCAAAGATTCAAGAGTGATTCTCAGACCACTCTTCTGGACTAAAGAACTTGGTTTCACCTCCTAATGAAAACTGATCCATCATCTTAAAGAGTTCCATCAAAAAGTTAAACAGCTTTTTTACTTTCTTCAATCTAACCAAATCAATCATATATAAACTGCAAAAATGTTCCTCAAAACAAAAGCAACAAAAAAAAAAAAAAAAAATCTGATCTTTACACAAATCAACATGAACCTAAGCCACAAGATGTAATAAAGACTCTAGAAACTCAAGTCCTACTTCAAATCCAAAACACCAGAAGAGATGAGAGTGCCCTAAATACAAAAAGGGTTTATAGGTTAGAGAAAAATTCATACCAAGAGAGACGGAGACGAGTGAGGCCAAAAGAGAAAGCATCTCTCCAGCCACAGCAAACACCAGAAGCAACAATGACATTACGATCATCAACAAGGGAAAGGATCCTCATCAGAAGCTCCACAGGGATGTCTCTCCACTCTTTGATCGAGATTCCTTCCATCTTCATCTTCTGAAAACACTGGTCCAGCTCCATGGATGCTTCTCCTCCCATCACCATCTTTGTTTAATGAGTAAAATGAAGCGGTGTTCTTGATCCTATCACCACAAAGGAAAGAGAGAGGGAGAGAGATAAAGATAGGATGGAGAGAGAGAGAGAGTGAAAAATCTGACATTTATCGATTAAAGTTCCATAGTTTGCTCTGGTTTCTAGATTTTTCCAGAAGTGAAACAATATTCCTCCATTTGAAAAAAAAAAATTGTTCTTTTCGAGTATTGTAAATTCAGTGACTAAAGAGGAGAGGATTTGCTACAAAGAAAAAATAACACTCTCAAAAGAAAAAGATCATACCTTTGAGGCTTTGAATTAGTTTCTTCGTCCCTCTTTCTGGGTTCTTTGTTGTTTCCTTCGACTATTATTTGATTATATTTGTTCCTTTGAAGTATTTCACAGAGTTAGAAGAAGATAACAACAAGAGAAGAAAAAAATAAATGAGAAATAAAATGGAAGGAAAAGAGGCAGGAGAAACGTGTGGGTAATGCTTTATGACACGTGTAATATAGTGACTGGCTGATACGTGAAATGCAGTATATTGATTTTATTTCTTTTTTTTTTGGGCAAAGATATCGAAAATGCTTTGAATAGATTCCAAGCAAACTGAACATTCATTGAATTTATAAATTTTAATATGTGAAAAATACGATAATAGTTTTTAAGAAACATTATGATTAACTGAATTGATTTGGTAATGGTGTTTGTTATGAAGGAATTATTCTTTGAGTAATAAAATAGAAGAAAGGAGATGCGTGAATGTGTGTGTCAAAATCAAAAAGTGGACAACTGTTGTTTTTGATAAAAATCGAAACCGCAACTTATGAGGTCCACTCATTTTTCTGAAGGTATATATGCACCCCAAATTTTAAGTTATTGGATAACTTTCAAAGACAATCACATACTATTTTATGATCATATTAGGAAGATGACATTTGGATTCACTTGTGCAATAAACAAAATAAGAAGATGTCATTTGGATAGGTAGGCAC